CTCAAAAGAAAATGGGGGAGTAAATTTAAAATGAAAGGGAGGCGCTCCCTTTTTACGGGCGAGGGAAAAAAGAATAACAAGCGGCAAAAAGGGCAATATTCTGAAAGGGTAGGGAACAGGGTAAAAGAAATAGCAAGCATCGAACTTAAGAAAAAGGAATCTTATGGGTCGGAAGCGGAAGAACAAAAAGCCATAAATGAAATGAAAAAAACCCCAAAGTATTTTTTTCCCCTATGCCAATTTCAAGTCGAGAACAACGTCCCGTTTTGGGCCCCCTATTTTAAAAAAGAGGGGGTCTACCAGTTGACAGCAAGGAAAATGGTGAGCTACTCAATTCCCAATAAGACCTTCATCAACCTCTATAACTGGCAAAACATCTTAATCAAAAGATAAAAATAAAGTCATTTTTAAATCTTCGCGTAGAAGCCGCAAAACCAGCTGAGGTCAAGATCAAAATAAATTTTTTATGAGGAGCCAAAAAATTTTGGTTAACACAAGCCTATTGATTTTATCTGACGCCAAATGACTTCGAACAGGCGATAAAGACATCCAATGCACTCTGCCCCAGGGCCAGACCGTAACTCCAGTTCATCAAAAACTGCAAGAACCCCCTACACGGCTTTTTACCTCCTATGGAGAGGGGCAGGGCACGGGGGTCTCCCACAGTTACTAAAAACAACAGACATACCCCCACTCCCAAAGGGGGCAGTAAAAAACACAGCCCGATGCCTAACATCCTTAAAAAAAACTTTAAAAGGGTCCAAGAAGCAAGATCACCACCCATTAAAAAACCCATCAATTACACAAACCCAGGGCAACATGGGTTTAAAACAGGCCGTCCTGTCTGTTCAACATTGGTCCCCTCGACAAGGTCCTAGATGCACAAAGACAAAAGAATCAGATGAAATATATACAACTTTGAAAAAGCCTCGACAATGTGACATGGGTAAAGCGCACAAAATGCGTGCAAAGGAATAACGGGAAAAAGTCGGTCGTTGGATCTATAATTTCCCACAACAGAAACAAAAGTTTCGTCAACAGAGAAAAAGTCCGAGGCGCTCGGTGAAAAGCTCTGTTCCACAAGGCACTTTTCTTGCTCCCATTTGTTCCTCTCCCAATTACATGAAAAGGAGTCACCAAAGAAACCGTGTTCCCCCTTTGCAGATGCACCCGAATCTGCATGACGTGTCTTCTATTGCAGAATGAAAGGCTCCAGGCGGACATCCCCCAAATCTTTCAGTGGGCTGCAAAAACAATATGAAGTTAACGATAAAAATTTTTAATTATCAATATGGAAAACTGAGGAAAATTTAAATTCTTCACAGAGTACAAAACTTTTTTGGGCCAAAAAATAGAGCGAAACACCAATGCCAAAGACCGGGATGATCAGTCGGAGGACCCCTTCAAGGACCATAACATTGTATCTTCGCATCTGCTAGAAAAATGACGGGAGGATAATGAGAACCTCAAAACGGGGGATGCCAAAGCCATATGACACTTTTTCAGGTCACTTGTTTATCTAGGCTGGAATTTTTGCGCACACTAACAGCCCTTTAAATGCGGGTAAAATTGCGCCCCTAGAAATGTACGGGAGAAACCTTCAGGCACGCATAAGGAGAAAAAAACCTCAGTTACTGGGGAGCGTTTTGGGGTTTCCTGAACCTGTTTCCCTGGAACACAGGGGGGAGAGTTTAATGATTATATAACCAAAAACCCTAGAGGGACTAGTACCAAACTTGCAAACGAAAATCACTCATACGAAAGCAAAAGCTTGGCAGATATGCAACATCCCCCCAATGAAAGCAGGGGGTCACTGCACTTTAAAGGACCTACAAAAAGTGTCGGGGCCCCAAGACTGTTCAATCCCTCCGCTACATGGGGGGTTACCAACAGACCCGGGCGTTTTAAAGCGGGCAGGGAAAAAGCCCCAAAAAGTGGGTTCCTGACCAGCCGGGGCTGTGGTCGTACGTTGGTTTGGGGCAACAGTAAACCCTGGTTGATCGGCTTGATCCACCAGGGGGTGGTCACAGCCGGGGGGTGGGGGTTGAAAACCCGGAACTCCCCTCCAGGAAACTCCAGATGGTAACCAAAATATCCGAGGACAAGAGAGGCATAATATACTACCTGGGTTTACTGGAGGGGTTTCAGGGGTCAAACCCCGCAGCCCCTTGAGACCCCGCCCATAGTGGATCAGGGTTGATCCACTGGGGTTATGCTGGCGCACAAAGCCGACGTCAACCAAGCCCGGTTTGGGCAGGTCTGATTTGGTGCCTGGGGCCGGGCCCTTTTTGAAGACAGCCAGGGGTCTATTAGTAATCCCCCTTATGTTTGGGAAGCAATGAACAGCTTGGGCCCCGAAATTATTTGGGGTTTTTCTTAGGTACTCGTGGGCCCGTTTTCATCGGAAAAAATGTTTCATCTCCTGGGGGTCTTTTGCTTTTATAGGGGGGTATTTTCGTGTGCAGGTTTTGGGACCCAAACCCCCCAGGGCCTTCCAAGTGTTATTATATGTACTTCCCCGCCCGCATTTGGGGAAACAGATCAAGGACCTTTACGTTCCAGTAGTTTAGGTGTTATCGCACTTGTGTGTGCTGTGAAAGTTCTTTGTACACTCTCCAGGTTGCTATGTCGCTAGCCTTTAAGGGGGGCCCTTTAAAGTACAGCGGTATTCCAGCCCAAGGCACAAGCAATTTTAAAAGAATCATCATGGGTTAGCCCCTAGTTTTTAAGGTTCTATTACCATCCTACATTTCCAGTGGATGAAGTAGATACTTTTTTGTGGTCTTTAAAAGGCGAGATTCTCTGACATTATCACCCCCAGGTCCTTCACATTACTTTCTGCTCTATTGTATGCTAAAAAATTTTTGGTATACCCGACACATTTTTTTTTTAAGTTTTCCCTGTATGAGTAGTTGCAATTTTCCCCGTTGAAAAATTCTATTGTTTTGAGTGGCCCCTTCGAGATTTGGTTGATGTCCACTTGGAGTCTGCAGTGTCTTAAGGAGGTTACTACCTGGGACCGGGTGTCTTTCCCCAAAAGGAAAACACAGAGCTACTTCTTAATTCTATGTCAGAAAAAGGGATGAGGAAAAAGAATGGGGGAAAAAGTACTGTGCCTTGTGGACAGAGTTTTACCTGGCTGCCCGGGACTTTCTTTGTTTTCTATTCTTTTGTGTTCATTTGTCAGGAAAATTTTATCCATCTACCAACTTTTCCGGGTTATTCCTTTATCCCACTTTTGTGTGCTATCCCACCTGGGCACAATTGTCGAAAGCTTTTGCAAAAGTCTGTGGTCCCCGTACTGTGACGGCAGGAGAACCTGCTCTAACCCCTGTTGCCCGGGTTTTTGTAATTGATGGGGACCTAGGTGGGTTTCTATCTTGCTTCTTAAAACCCCTCAAGTTTTTTTTATGGGATGTAGGCTATCGGTCTGTATTCTTTGCAACTGTTTTCTGCCACCTTTGTGGATGGGGGGTGTCTGTTGTTTTTTGGTTGTGGGATACCCTGTGTCCCTGCTCCCCCTCCATAAAAAAGTGAAGGCATGGATATGGCTTCTTGCAATTTTTGATGAAAAAGGAGTTCCACGAGTTGGGCCCGGGGCAGAGGCTGGGCATGTATTAATTGCCTCTTCAAAGTCTTGGGATTTGAAATATCCCAGTTTTTTAGATGACCAAATTTTGGGTTTCGTTTTAAAGAATTCATTTGGATTGTTGACCCTTAGAGTGGACAATGGCTCGCTGAACACTGAGTCATATTGGGACTTTAGTATTCTCACTCATTTCTTGGCTATCATCTGTGTATGTCCATCCCGCCTAAGCAGGGAAAATTAGTGTGGAGAAGAAGTCAAATAAACCATACCACGGGCGGGGTTTGAACCCGCGGTCAGTCTCAAAACTCCAGATCGTCGCGTTAGCCACTGGTGCCAGTGGCTAACGCAACGGTCTGGAGTTTTGAGACTCTCTGACGGCGGGTTCAAGCCCCACCCGTGGTATGGTTTGTTTGTAACCGTGTCATTACGATTTCGTGAGTCATTAAGTCAAATAGTTAAGACACATACCGAAGGTCTCATCATATATGATGCCAGCATTGGTGATGTTCTGAGAACTGACGATGTCTCTGATGACCTGCACGATGACATCACCTGGAGGCATCAGCTGCACCAAGTATTTTGTCTCGTTGGCAGACAGGGTGCGCCACTCCCTAATGGCAAGAGAAACATGGTAATAGGTATGGTAAATGGCAACAGAAACACATTAACAGAGACAGTGAGTACAACTAGGTAATTAAACTAACAGGGACACAACTACCATGACATCAGCTCGGATGCTCCATTTTCGCTTTACATTATTATAATTGTGAATGAGAAGCACTAAAGCAGTAAGGGATCATACAGCCCATTTAGCGTGGAAATTATTATTATTATAATCATGGGGGAGGGCTAAACCCGTAGGATTATACAGCGCATGTGGGGGGATGGAGGGTATTCACTCAATTCAGGGAACTGGAGCACAGATCCAATTCCCTAGATCAAGAGCCCCTCACCAGCATCAAGGAACCTCCCTTGAGGGGTTTAGCGTGGGAAATACATTTAACTCCAGGAAGGGGAGGATAGTTCCAACTCCATGTAACAAGAGTTCTTATCAGAATTAAGACACCACCAACATAAAATGTTTATGATGCACAATAAAGGAAGTACTAGTGCTGCTATTAAGTTTATGAGGCACAACAGTAATAGCTACGAGAATATTTATTAGTCACACAGCACACTCTTACACAAATTATTTATGTTGATGCTTCTGTTCACCAATCTACTGGTGCAGCTGTTAGTGCTGCTGTTGTCATACAGAGGGATGAATCTCAGGGACTTCAATATTAAATCTCCTGCAAGACCAGGACCCACACGTTACGAATTCACAATCACAAGGAGTAACTGCATGTACTGCTACCAACAGTAACAAAAAACCTACAAGAGTTACAGAGGGACTAGTGTTTCCCTACTTGACCACATCTGGACCAAACCATATACCCTTTAAAATCAGGGCCATAATACAGATATATACCACAGACCACTACATACTTTCCTATAAAAATCTTGGTTAAAATACCCCAAGACACTACTAAGGTCACCTTCAGATTCACATGAGGCAGCCATTATAAACTTGGACAACAGCAGTAAACAAACATTGACTGGATCACTGAGCTAGAAATTCTATACCAGATATTGACGAATGGTTTAATAATTTTCTAAAAAAGCCCAAAAATACCTTTATAACAAGCACTGCCCTAAAAAAAACTAAACAGATGACAGCTAAGAGACTGAAACAGTCCCTGGCTAAACCAGCATCTCAAATCCATAAATACAAAAACACCGAAATGAAAAAACAGTACAGAATTGGGTCACATAACCAGAGGACCAAACAAACGTTACTCGTCTATTCCCAACCAGCCGATAAGAAGGGCAAAAAAATGTAGTATGAGAAGATTATCCAACTTACGAGGTGATATAAAAAAGACCTGGAAGGACCCTATCAGAAATTCTGGGAAACAAAAAAGATACACGAACATAGCGAAATTAAAATTTTGGGCGCAAAATCAGGCTGCACCCCAACTCCCACCAACAGAATAACAGCAAAACAGACTCATGATTTTCTTCTCCACTTAGGTCAAAACCTTGCAATAAAATCCCAGATCAGGATACCCCACCAAATGACTACCTCATGGCAACTACCCGAACACATGTTCCTAGCTCGATAAACATACGAGTCTCCATTATTTATCAACGCACTGAAAATCACGGCAGGAGATTTAAATACATTACCACCCCTTTTATATACAAAAATAGGGTCACAAGTATTTCACCAATCTTGCAAAACACTCTTAACAAATCCATTGAATCCTCCACCCTTCCCTACAGGCTCTCAAAATAGCAAGGGTCACCCGACGATCCATTAAAAGGAGGAGACCAGAGTTGATAAGATAGGCCAATATCCAATTTTACACCCCTCTCTCAAAATCTTCCGAAAAATTTAAATCATAAACGAATCTTATCCTACCTCATCTCCCAAAAACATTCTCAAACCCCTGCCAATTTGGATTCAAGCCTAATAAAAAAATATAATGATGCTATTATACACATGCTAGACATATATACACTGCAATAGAGAAAAAGAGTCCCACTGGGGATCTTCTTGGACTACACAAAGCTTTTGATACAGTTGACCATGACTTGCTCCACGTAAAATTGTTCGACAACACTATGGTATAGAGGGCAACTCCCTCAACTACCTCAAGTCTTACCTCAGCAACAGAAGCCAATATGTACACGTATACGCAAAATGGGGCAAGCTCTTCCGCACAACAATTACAGTTGGTGTCCCACAGGGAAGTTCTTGGCCTCCTTCTCTTTCTCCTATAATAAATGACCTACAAATGCTTCGCAATTTACGCAAAACCACACTTTTTTTTTTTTGCAGATGACATACATACGTCTTCTTCTCACCCGAGCCCAGTTCCACGCTAACCAATACTGTAAAACAACCGATTACGAAAATACATGGATGAGGATTAACAAACTTACACTAAAACATGCAAAACCTACTTCATTCAGTTTGGTAACAGAGCTACAGATGTACCTATTAACATAACAAATAAACGGATCATCTATCACAAAGCTAACAGAGGGGAAAATTCCTAGGAATCCACCATCGATAATAGACTCAAATTTCATACAATTACAACAAATTTCTAAGAAAAATTTCCAAGACTGTAGGCTATACTATCGAAGGATACGGTATATGTTCCACAGTCAGCCCTCCTGGCCCTTTATCACTCTCTTATTTACCCCTATCTCACCTATGGAATTTGTGCATGGGGCTCAACAACAATTAACCATCTCAGACAACTTTTACCCAACAAAAGGCCCCCCAGAGCACAACCGTTAGAATGATAAAAATTCTCACTATGTGTTGACGCCCATATACATGGACACTCCCACCAATATTCAAAAACACTAAACCTACTCACCATACAAAACTTCCATACTTATTATTGCACTTATTACTACATAGAACACTTAACTCTGATATTAACCCTCCCCTCAAACATCTCCTTGCCGAACCTAAACAGAAACATGACCATAACACAAGTGCACAGATCACTCTTTGATGTTCATCGTTGGTCCATCTCCGCTATGCAATAACTCAATGCACATAAAGGCCCTAAAATCTGGAATTCATTACCTGTAAATGATGAAGAAACACTACCTGTTATAAATTCAAGGTCTCTCTCAAAAGATCACTTACTCACTCAAAACCAAATAAATACTGGAATAACCGAACCTTATAAATTGTATATCTATATGATACTCACAATTATATCACACAAATAGTTAAAACCTAGGACCCAATCTAACTTTATTATTTTTTTAAATACACAACCTAACAGAATACTCCATTCGACTGATGTACAGCAATTGCATGGCAACCATTATGACCTGTCTTTGTAATACTCATTTGTTGCTTTATGTTAATATGTTTACAATAAATGTTTTATCACTGATTTAATCATTGCTTAGTTAATTTTAAGTTAATTTTAAGCCAGCCAGTAATGCTATGCTTATAAGTGGGCTTTTGGCTTGGCTGCTCTTACCTGTATTTTTTGTACCTCTGTTGTATGCTAAATACTAAACTAAATAAATAAATAAATAACCATGCACTTCTGGATATACAAGCTAAATAAGCTAAGATATTGGAGCCCGCATCAATAACTGGGCCTCTACCCTTCAAACAGAACTGTTTGCCATGCTCCTTGCACTCAAATGCACCCATGTACCTAATGTGACATTTTAGTTGTAAATGATTCTCTATCGCCATAATGCTCTCGATTCATTAATTATTATTATTATTATTATAATTCAAGGGGAAGCTCTAATCCGTTAGGATTATACAGCGCATGGGGGGGGGCTGTGGAAGGCATCAGGCATTAATTGGGGAATTGAAGCCACAGATCCAATTCCCTAAATCAAGGAGCCCCGCACCAACATCAAGGAACCTTCCCTGACGGGGTCAACTCATTAAGTATATAAATTGTTGGCATGCTTGTGTCAGACGCCAGACACAGGTTTACCTGGGAGAGAAGTTACGGGGCTTAAAGCACCCGCGGCACGGTCCGCGACCAGGCCCCACGGGGACCAGAGCCTTGAGCACGTAGGTGTTCTGCTGCTGGGTACGAGCCACAGGCCTGGCTGGTCAGGACCGACTTTAGGTGCTTGTCCAGTGCCTGCTTGAAGACGCCGGGGTCTATTGGTAATCACCTTATGTTGCTGGTGAGGGCAGTTGAACAGGTCTTGGGCCCCTGACACTTTTGTGTAGGTCTCTTAACGTGCTAGTGACAGATATGGTGTAAGATTGTGGACCAGTGGAGTCAGAGAGAGTACCACATGCTGTGGATTCCATCTCACATTGAATCTTTCAGATGCATGGTAGGAAACTGAATGAATTGGCTAAGCTGTATGCTTTCAAAGAGGGACTAGATTACAATCTTGGCTTGTCAGTCAGCAGTTTGAGAACAATAATACGAAAAGAACCTCAACTGAATTTTATTGACTCAAGACGCAGGAAGAATGACACCAGTAAATCCATTTATCATCGTTCTATCCTGCAGGAGGAGCCAAAGCCACATGTCTAAGGTGATCCAACAAAAAAGCAGACTCTTGGACGTCACTGCCGCCCGGCTCCGGCTGGGGTTACAAGTATCTTTGGCAGGTTAAATCACCACCACCAGATGTAAACCAAATGAAATGTAAACTTTGCCAGATGGACTATTGTCACACCCTGCATCATTATGTACCGGAGTGCGATAAAATTGATGAATTCAAAAACAATTCACTCAGAAATATTCAAGAAATGTCAAGGGATGGTCATCCACGGTGGCATATTACAAACCATTCTGGAAAAATACCCATGACTTTGCTCACTGTAAATAACACATTACCACGTGTGTGTTATACAGCACATGTGGTGGGGGGGGATGCGAAGGCATTCAAATCAATTCAGGGAATGGAGCACACAACGTGTGTGTGTGACTCACCTAATTGTGGTTGCAAGGGGTCGATCCATAGCTCCTGGCCCTCGCATCTTCACGGCCGCTACTTTGTCACTTCCCTGCACCATGAGCTTTATCATAACCTCTGCCTTAAAGCTATGAAAGGATTCTTTCCTCCATTACATCGCTTCCCAAATATTCCACTTCCTGACTACTCTGATGACTGTAGAAATATTCCTAACATCCCTGTGATTTCTGTGTTTCAACTTCCAACTGTGTCCCCTTGTTGCTGTGTCCATCTCTGGAACATCCTATCTCTGTCC